TACTAATTTCTAACAGACAGAGGCTGAGCCAAACCCAGGGCTATAGTGGGGCTGAAAGCAGTAGGTCCACAATCTCAAGCAGCACAATTCTGCTGCATAGAGATACGCGACAGGTTATAACTTGGTGGCATCCTTAACAAATTACTGTGCAGCTATAATTAACTGTCTAACTTGTTACTCAGCGGTGATAAGAAGCGACGAATGACACCAGATATAGGATTGAGGGGGCATGTTGTGAACTGTAACACTCAATACTTAATAATACAGCGGACAAGTTGTTAGGTGGTGAGACAAATCACTATTTTCTTTATCAACTGTGACACTCCAAACCTCCTACAGTTCTCAGTGGACGCTATGGTCCTCTTTAGTCATTTCGGAAGAGTGGCTGGTTTATTGGCCAAACCGATTTATTAGCGAGTTATGATATCCTTTACTGACAGTGTAAGTTGTGTTGATCTGGAGCAGTGGACAGGCTTCAAGAGTGCAGCTACCGGTTGCCTCAGTTATTGCCGTGAGACGAACCTGATAGGGGTTAATTGGTCTACCGAAGCCGGCATTAGTATAAAAAAGAGGGAGAGGGCGGTTACATAACCTAGATGTCTTAAAATCGTATTCAACGTACACATACTTCTAGGCAAGGACATGCATATTACTTACTTACTTATTCATGGAGCTGAGCCCTTCTAGAGGAGCTGTCAATTCTGCAGCTACTCAAGAATTTCCCAGCATTTTATAGAACCCGAAGGTTCATTACCGTGTTCACAAGAGCCCTCCACTGGTCCCTATACTCAGCCAGACCAATCTAATGAATGCCATCCCATCCTATCTCTCTAAGAACTATTTTAATATTGTCCACCCACTTACGCCTTGGTCTTCCCAGTGGTCTCTTTCTTTCTGGCTTTCCCACCAATACCCTATATGCATTCCTCGTCTCCCCCATTCGTGCTACATGCCCCGCCCACCTCATCCTCCTTGACTTGATCATTCTAATTATACTTGGAGAAGAGTACAAGTTATGAAGCTTCTCATTATGCAGTTTTCTCCAACCTCCTGTCACTTCATCTCTCTTCGGTCCAAAAATTCTCAACATCCTGTTCTCAAACACCCTCAGTCTATGTTCCTCCCTTAATGTCAGAGACCAAGTTGCACACCAATACAGAACCACTGGCAGAATTATACTTTTGTATATTCTAATTTTTATGTTTTTGGACAGCAGACGAGAAGACAAAAGGTTCTGGACAGAATGGTAGCAAGCATTATCCGAGTTCAATCGCCTCTTAATTTCCTCCTGAATCAGGTTTCGATCTGTTATCGTTGTCCCCAAATATCTGAATTGTGCCACATTTTCAAAACATCTGTTTCCTATCGTTATATCATGACTTTGCCCTGCATTTTGGTGACGAGACAGCAACATATACTTAGTTTTCTCAGTGTTTACTTCTAGATCAACCTCTTTACTTGCGTCAATTAAAGTTTGTGTGTTTTTCTTTATGGTATCTACATTATCACCCATTAGATTCACATCATCGGCATAGACCAACAGCTGACGTGTCCTGTTTAATTTCAGTCCCACCTGGTTTCCCTGGACCTTCCTAATGGCATATTCTAAAGCAAAGTTCAAAAGGAGTGGCGATAAAGCAACTCCTTGTTTTAGACCATTCTGGATAGGAAATTTATCAGACAAATATTTACCTACACGGACTTTACTATACGTTTCGTTTAAACACATTTTAATCAACCTGACTAGTTTCATGAATATCCCAAACTCTATCAGAGTATTGTACAATACTTCCCTCCTAACTGAAGTTTACATATAGCTGATGTACTGTCTCATCGTACTCCCATATTTTCTCCAATATCTGACGAATGCAAAAGATCTGATATGTACAATATTATATTTAAGCATCCTGTTGCACTCTATACAATAAATGATATGCACTCCGTCCCAACTGCAAACAATCTATTATATGTCCTTGAGCTTGCTCTCCTTTACACTACATGTTTCGGCCTCACACGGCCATCATCAGGTGTATACACTCACGTTGCTGTTACACTGCACTTAGTTTAAAATTTAACATTTAAAAACACACTGTTCCTTTCGTTGTTATTATCAACATCTACTTCGTTGATATCTGTCTGGTTTATAGATTATTTNTATTTTTGTTACACACGTTGGCACTTATAAAATCTTTAGTTCTAATTTTAAAATCCTTTAAAATTTTCTCTAAATTTTAAAATTTAAAATTGTCAGGGTTATTCGCCCTATGTCTATAGTGCTGCAGCGGCTAGTTCTTGTTTCCAGCACTGTACAGGTGTTATTTTGTGTAGTCTCCCTGTGTGTGTGCCGCTGCTATTCTTTACTATGTCTGCTGAAATAACACTGTACAGTGCTGGAAACAAGAACTAGCCGCTGCAGCACTATAGACATAGGGCGAATAACCCTGACAATTTTAAATTTTAAAATTTAGAGAAAATTTTAAAGGATTTTAAAATTAGAACTAAAGATTTTATAAGTGCCAACGTGTGTAACAAAAATAATCTATAAATCAGACAGATATCAACGAAGTAGATGTTGATAATAACAACGAAAGGAACAGTGTGTTTTAAATGTTAAATTTTAAACTAAGTGCAGTGTAACAGCAACGTGAGTGTATTCACCTGATGATAGCCGTGTGAGGCCGAAACATGTAGTGTAAAGGAGAGCAAGCTCAAGGACATATAATATATTGTTTGCACTTGGGACGGAGTTCATATCATTTATCTGATATGTAGTTGAGCTGTTACTTCGAAACCCACACTGATTATCCCCAATAATTTCATCTATGTATGGATTTAACCTTGAAAGAAGAATATTGGATAAAATTCTGTATGAAGTTGATAGCAGTGATATCCCTCGACAATTACTACAGTCAGTTTTATCGCCCTTCTTGCGAACTGGTACAATAATAGACTCCTTCCACTGACCAGGCAATTTTTCCTTATGCCAAATAGAAGTAACTGGCTTATGGATCTTAGAATGTAATATTTCGCATCATGCTTGAGACATTCATATAGATTCCTTAAATGTCTGAGAATTTCTGTTACGTTTAGGTGTGTGAATTCTCCACATACTACACTTAACTGAAGTAGGTGAACTGTTTTTAAAACAATTCGACCCTTACGGGAACTTGAAATCGCTATGAATCCGGCGCAGAACCCTGAAGGAATTGTGAGGCGTATATAACTGTTATGCTGCCAGTTCGTGGAAAGGATATGAACAAAACACAATTAATTCTACTTACCAAGTTTTGAGGTTATTTGTGACCTGACTCTCCCTCCGCCAGTTTGGCTGGTATACGCTCCGGTCCGCTCTGATACAAAAAGACAAAAAACTCCGGGTGAATTTGGTTTCTGGACAGAATCCGATCCACGGGCGGTCAAGGAGTTGCCGCTGACTCCTGCAACAGAAACACAATCAGTTCTCCCAGTTCCACAAATTGCTTACATCTGCAAGCGAACGCAGCTGACAATCAGTTAAGTACTGAACTAAAACTGAAATGAATAGAATTTCTCACAGCAGTGGTTATAAGAAGTCTATCTTCTGGGACACAATGCCGTGACTTCTGATGAAAGTCAACCAACATTTCGGAGGAACATGTCGCCTCCATCTTCAGGGGGATTTTCAGGCTCTACTTGCCCCTTGCTTTCACGATGGTTTCTTGTTTTGGTTGTTCTTCGACTCTGAAGATCGAGGCGACATGTTCCTCCGAAATGTTGCTTGACTTTTAATGGATCGCACGTTGATATACCGTATTTACGCATGTATAGGCCGCGTGCGTGTATAGGCCGCAGCACAAATTTCAGACAGAAATTATAGAAAAAATAATTTTCTTGGAATATTATTTCAGGAGTAGAACACCCTGTATTACTAATTATGAATATATCTTTTTTTAAATGAAGCGTGATTTCGAATATTTCGAATATAAGCCGCACCCCATTTTTCCTCTTGAATTTTTGGCAAAAAAGTGCGGCCTATACATGCGTAAATACGGTATTCCGGAAAACAGAACTTTACAGAATATAACTTGTCCTCTAATTCGGAATGCTCAATTTATAAACAAGCTCTTTAGTACTGATTGGCCATTCGCGTACTGCTTAACAGATACAGTATACATGACACACACCGACACAACACTGTAGTCACATAATATACAATGCCGACACAACTAAACAACAGCAGAGGAATAAACTGTTCATTACATACACTATGCTGAATAACAGGATGTATATTTTGCCCCTCATATATATCCTGGGGAGCCGGCATAGCGACTGGCTACGGCCTGGACGATCGAGGGGTCCGAGTTCGAGTCTCCGTAGGTTCAAGAATTTTCTCTTCTCCACTTCGTCTGGACCGGCTCTAGGACCCACTCAGCCTCCTATTCAATGGGTACCGGGGGCCCTTTCCCTGGGGGTAAAGCGACCGTGGCGTGAAGCTTACCACTCACCTCCAACTAGTACCGAGGTCAACAAAATGTGGATCTATACATCCAATCCCCATACGCCTTCATGGAGTAGTGCTTAATTAGTTACGCACAGGGACAACTCTACCTTTACCATATATTTTGAACGATTTTTGAGAAATTTCACTAAGTTCGATTGCAGTTTCTTGTAAAAAGTTACAGCGAATCGAAACAGAACAGACTGAAATTCTTCCAGTAACTCGCTCAATATTCATGGAAGAGAAACTGTAAAGACACGTGAATCGCATCTGAGAAGTAATTTTTTTTTTAATTCGCTTAGTAGTGGGTGGAGTCCAACTGGGTCCACTCGGCACGGCGGCCACTGATTGGCCTATTGTACCTGCCCCGGGTGATTATGATGAAGAATTTGGTGGATGAAGATTGGTAGGGGAAACCAAAGTACCCGGAGAAAACCCGCTCCAGCGCCACTTTGTCCACCACAAATCCCACTTGACCAGACCCGGAATCGAACTTGGGCCGCCGGGATGGGAAGCCAGCGACTAACCGCTTGAGCTATGACGCGATAACAGCAATACACTTACTCGGTCCTTTAGTTTTCTTGATAAATAAACAAAGGGGACCGAAAGGTCCAGAACGCTACAAGCCGGAAGGTCGCGGGTTCAAGTCCCGATGAGGTCACTGGATTTTTTTCAATTGACCTAATCCTTCCAGCCGCACTATGGCCCTGGGGTCGACTCAGCCTCTAACAGAAATGAGTACCAGGAATTAATTAAATAATTTTCCTGGGGAGTAAAGCGCGGCCGGCGCGTAAGGCTGACAACCTTACCGCCATCTTTGAGCCGATTGTCTAGATACTGTGGGACCCTCAACGTCTCACAACCCTATGGGCCTTCACGGCCTGGTACAGGGATAGCTTTACTTACTTTTTACTGTTACTCTATGCGTGCTGTACTTAGCTTGTTTAAGTTCAGGCCCAGTCCTGCTACCTAAATCATGGCGCAGAAATATTTACATTACATAGGCCTATGTTTGCTTATTTCTGTTTGACAAGAGGAAATGGGAAGTGTGATTACACGCTTATGGTGGCGTGAAAATGGCGTGTACAGGTTTGAATGAAGCGTGTTTCAAGCTCAATGACAGGACGAGGGTAGGAAGTTGGATGACGCTTTCTATGGCGCACAATTAATAGGTATTGTTACTATATTAGTTCCTTTCTAGAGATCAATCAGTTTTATGGTTTGTTTAACGACGCTGTCACAATGCTCAGACTACGAGTATATGGCGTCGAACGGTTGGATGCTAGTGAAAGGACTGCATCCTGTTGTGTGTTCAATAGTTATGTAAACTGGGCCGTCAGCACAACATAAAGTAGTATGTCTTCAAGGTGGAGATAAAATAGATGTTGTGGTGTCCCTTATTTAATAACCATAAAGTCTTACGGAATTTGCTTGATGATGACCTAAGTGAAGGTCGAAATATGTAGCATACACCTGCTTACAACAAACGAGTAAGAGACATCACAGCATGTATTTTGTCTCCTCCTTGAAGACATCCTACTTTATGTTGTGTTGACGGTTCAGTTTACGTAACAAGTGAACAATCCATTTGAAAGAACGTGAAAGAGAGCAGGCGTGGCATAACAGGAGGTGCTGTGAGGCCGAGGGCTGAAGGCGGATGGTAGCTTCCGCCACCTTGCCTGCCAGCAGTGTGGGATGCCTCCACTTCGGCTCTCCCATTTTTAACCAACATCCGCCTTCATGACTCAGCTGGACAGTATTACCCAGGGATATGTCTGGAGAGAGACAGCCGGTCTGTGAGTCGGGGAATTCCCGAATTCGAAACAGGAGTACTGACCATTACATCGCGATGTCCGGCAATGGGCTCTATGAAAATATCGCAATGACGTAGCACATGAATCCCTTTAAATTGTTTTTGGGTAATTTTTCTCATTTTAACACTTAATGAGATCGACCAAAACACATATGAAAGTCGTTTAGTAATCAGGCCACCAAAATTAATAAACTAGAAGGAAATCACAAATGATCATATCGATATATCAACATCGAAGTAAAGTGGTCCTTGAAATTATCACGTATTCGGGGTTCCGTGACTAATAATAATGGGTTCTGGCTTGGACGATTGGATTTATTAACACCTCCGTTTACAATCTCTCTTAACCACAATCAATTACAGCGCTACCGCTAATCCACCGACTTCACAAATCACTAGGACATGCTCCATTCTCGTCCCTGTACTCTTCTGTTCTCTCCTGTCCTTGTACTATCAAACTAACTCTGTTATTCTGGGAACCTCGTTAAATGCCGTTGTATTCCCATTCTCTGCTGTTGCACTCCCAGTTACAATTTTCTAGTCCTACAGCTCACAGCTCTCGTTATGTAGCCGCGGCACGGACCAAACAGAAAACACCTATTATTGTGGAGACCTGTTACCACGCAAATGAGTCTCGGCGCTTACTGTTACAGCCGCGTGTTTACAGCTCTGTTATCTAGCACTGGGCATGGCGAGGACCACAATGAAAACACCGTTTCCTAGTAATTTTTCTGTTGTTATAGAGGTGTGTTTACGTTGCCGTTGCATAGAAACGACAGTCGTTCCACTGTTGCCTGCGTATTCGTTGCCGCAAGAATGTTACTAGTGACCGGTTGCCTGGCAATGGCTAACACGTTACAATACGATTTAAAGTAAATTAAATTTAGCCTTCATTTAGGCACACAATCCATACAACTGGTACCGTAGTTGACGTTTCAATAAAATCCGAGCATAAACTCATTAGATATACACAGACCCTTAAAACGAATTAAAATAAGTTAAAAACGCTGTATAGATGGAGAATATAAAGTTTAATTAACATTTGCGAAAGGACTTAAAGGTGAAGGTAAAGGTTCAATTAGGTCCTTAAATAATATATGTATTACAATAACCGAATTTGAATCAAAATGATACACTTTAGTGTCAGTGGGACAATGCAGAATTTGATACTGACTTGTCAAAAACACCAGGGCTGCCAGAAAGGGGCTGTAGGTTTATTTTATAAAAGCATCTAAAAATGTTTTCTTAAAAACAGGTGTTATGAACGCAGTATATATAAAAGTAAAGTAAAGTTAACCCTGTAACAGGCCGTGGAGTCCCATCGGGTTGTGAAATGTTGAGGTTCCCACATTTGCTAGACAATCGGCTCATGTATGGTGGCTAGGTTGTCAGCCCCACGCGCCGGCCGCCCTTTACCCAAAGAATATTCCAAGAATATTCCTGGTACTCATTTCTGTTAGGGCCATAGTGCGGCTGGAAAGATTAGGTCAACTGAAAAAAATCCAATGACCTCATCGGGACTTGAACCGCGACCTTCCGGCTTGTAGCATAGTGCCTCAACCAACTACGCTACCGCGTGCCCCCGGCACTATATGTAATATAATGTAAATTGCAGGCGTATTCATTTATTCACAACGGAATTTGAAAACGGCTCCAGAAGTAAACTCCGCCTCACCTACCAAGCATCTTGCACAGAACAGTAGTGCGAGTAGCTAATGACTATGAGAGGTCACGGTTAAGGTCAGGCAGTTTGTGCAACTGCGATTCGGTGCCGAAACGGACCTGTATACAACCTTAGAAAAGTAAACTGCTACACTTTGTACTCATACATAAATGTCTTTCATATTAACCGCCTCATTCTGCAACAAGAAATGAGGAAAGCTATTTTTTTTCCTTGGCACTATAGCCCCAGTGAGCCTAGGCCTACCTCCATGAACTTCTCCGTTCACTTCGGTTTTTCTAGATTCTACACATTCGGTAGGACTCCTTGGGCGAGTGATCAGCTCGTCGCAAGGCCTCTACCTTTACACAAACAGAAAAACGCACACACACAAACTAAACATCCATGCCCTGAGTGGGATTCGAACCCACGATCCCGGCTTCCGAGCGAGCGAAGACAGTGCGCGCCTTAGACCGCTCGGCTACCG